TTCTTCAACGTGTTTCAACCTTACAGCACTTTCCAAGCACCCGAACCAACTAGTGAGTTCATCCTTTGACCATCGTTCGTACACGTGTTTCCACCCCATTCCCAATCATGTCGGACTAGCCATCGACCTACATCTACCTAACCCTCCTTTCTCTCCATATCCGAAAGCCCAATGATGCACACAAGAGTCCTTCGTAAAACAACTGGACTTTCGCAATTGGCATCTCTCTGGTGTCATGTCCCATCTCCAAATCATCATGACGTACCCCACTCTTCTACAGGAACTTAATCACTTGTGGTGTACAACACAGTACTTTCCCTACCGTGCTTGAGTAGCATTGCTTCGCTTCATTGGTGATAAATGCGCGCTTCTTCGCTCTGGGGTGGAGAATGTTGTGCTATTCGTCTCGTGCATGCAGTTTGAATCTATCATGAATCGTTTATCTACACACCCCCTTACTTGCGTGCTCTTCTCATTAACTTTGGTTTGAGACTTCAGAGAGCTTAGAGCGATTTGGATAAGCTTGACTATAGATAGAGATGTACTCGAGACTAGCTAGGTACGAATCATGAGTTAGATAGAGGAAGAAGGTTCTCATGAAGTGATCATCCGTCCCTTTGAATCTACCATACAAGGTTTAAATCCCCATCCTCCCCCCCCTTCTTCACCAATAAAAAGGTCATCTGCCCCTCCAATTATCTCTCTTCAATTCATGAATCAAGAAGAGATTCAAATCTGTTCTTGCTAATATCTTTGAACAAGCGCAGAGACCATCATCCCTATCATCACATGCAAACATTACGATCCCATCTTGTCTCACCACCCCACCATCCCATTTCTATCGCCCCGATCATATGATACAAAGTCATCACCTCATCACCAAGATCACCTCACCCCTTCTAACATAGCACATAGCACATAGCACATCTCAACCAACCTTCCTAATCTTCCCAATCCAATCCCCCAATCTCTGTCCCATCTGTCCCATCTCTCCCATCTCTCCCATCTCTCCCATCTCTCCCATCTCTCCCATCTCTCCCATCTCTCCCATCTCTCCCATCTCTCCCATCTCTCCCATCTCTCCCATCTCTCCCATCTCTCCCATCTCTCCTCCCTCACCTTCGTATTCCCCGTCCTCCCATCCCGTACCCCCCAACCCCTCTTTCCCATCCCCGAACCCATCCGAAAAGCACTGAAACATGCACCTCTCGACGCATCTAAATGAAACAACCCAAACACCAAACACAACCCAAACCATCACAAAAGCATCTCCGTGCATACATTGCCCATTCACCCAGTTGCACATCCCACTTCCTCCATCCATTTCTTAGTTCGCCCGCTGCAACCTGCACAGAAGTAGAAGCATAAACACGACATCTCTTCCCATGCACGTCCAGTAGATCTAGTATACATGGCATGCATATATCAGCTTTGCATAGGTAGGTAAGATTACTATTCATCGATTGAGGTACGGACTGGACTGTGTAGATTATATCGCCATCCCATTTCATTTTATAGCCTTCTCTTTTTACGACCACACTATCTATGATCTACCCATCTGAACTCTGAACTTACCTCCCTCCTATATAACCATAATCATAATCTATCATGACGTCGAAATTCAATCTTCACATCTTCACACCCCATCCCATACCCTCCCAATTTCGTATCTCGCCTCGTACTTCGTAAACTCGTCGTCATAGGTATCATAGCATAGTATATTATACCACACCATCCCACACCAAGCTGAAAACCACCCCCATCTAAACCCACATCAGCCTCTACAAAAAGATCACATGTACCCCCAGTGCCCCTTGAAATACACAATATCTACTATCATCTCTAAAACACCTGTAGATATCAATTACATCATTATACCATCTCACTCTAAACACCTACCTACCTACCTATCTATCTACACATTTCAATATCCATCCCCCCATCTCAACAACCAAACAACCAACCATCAAACCTGTCAACTCCCCCCAAACCCTCAAAAATCAAAATAAAATGAGAAGCCTCCCCCATCACACTCCCCGCCGTAAACGCCCACCAAACCAAAACTGACAGCCAGCCCATCCCAGCCGAGCCTAGCCACGCTTATCGATAAGAACAATAGAGGGGTAAATTTTATAAATTCCCCCCAAAATCGAAAAATGCACCTCGATAAGTTTCATGGGTAGTAGATAGATGAGAAAAGTTGGAAGGAATGGGAAATTGGATTGGGAATGGAATGGAATGGAAAGGAAAGGGAAAAATGGATGTGTCTTTTTTTTTTTTTTTTAGCTAACGAATGGATTTTGGATTGTTAATGTTTTGTACCTAATAACTTGTAAGTAATTAAGAGAGGAGGAAGGGAGCGGTCAACATGTTAGGTAGTTGGTTAGTTTTTCTCGATTTCTTTCTCGTCACTTGATTGAGAGAAGAAAAAATATGTGTAGGTATGAGAAGGGGAGATAGGATATCATGATTGATTGATTGAATTTTCATTTCTCTATTGATTCATCTAGCTGGTATTTAATTGTAGAGACGCAGCACGCGGGCGTTTAAAAATGATTCTCTCTATTTTAGGAGCGGTAGTATGATGTGATTCAATCTATCTTCTCATATTACCTACCTACCTATAGAGATAGATAGATACTACAAACATTCTGTATCTACAAAATGAGAAATTCACAAAATGAGAAGTGTCTATGAGTTTTGTTACCTAAGTATTTATAGGTTACTGCTACCTATGAAGTCGGATCAAATAGATCCTCCAGAGTGGAATTTCTGTGTTTTGCCGCTTGTATAATAGTGAGTATCGTTAATCTAGGTAGGTATATCTATCTTTATCATCAGAAGTCTGAATGCATATCCCAATTTCCTATTCCCAATGTATATCTAAACCAAACACTGATTTGGTGTTCCAGTTGTAACACAAATATTGCTTCTTATGCTCATTCAAAGCATCATATTTCTCCTCACAGCTCGAGTAAGAACTCCATACCAAACAGAGTCTATGAAAGTTCAGAAGCTGTTATTAGAAGGGAATAGGGGGTACGAGGAGAGAGAATATGTATATAATTCCAAGTTCACATCATAGCATACCTATTCTAGAAATTCTGTTTATATTCATATATATACCGATATGTTATAATCAAGTCAAGTCAAATTAAATCAAATCAAATCACCAAAAGTCCATCGAAATTACAAAATACTCAAAAAATCGTTTAATTCAAAAAACTTACCTCTGCGAGCAAGAACCGCATCGTAAAACTACAACAACAAAAGGAACCCGGAAGAAATTACCATTGTATGTGCCTCTCCTCCTCATACTCCTTCTCTTTCCCCCTCTAAATCCCATCTATACCGAATCCTCAAAGCAAAAATCGTAGGACTACTATAACAAAAGAAAAATGGAAGAAATTACCATTGTATTTGCCTCTCCTCATCTTCTCTAACCTCCTAACCTCCTATCTCCTCGTCTTCTTCTCATTCTCCTTGCATCCCCCGCACAAATCGTTCTTGCGAACGATGTCCTGATGGTAGTAAGGACAAGTGGTGGGTTGGATGTTGGAGCGGCGAGCGTGCTTGCATCTGTCGACCCAGTAACTGGGGTGGCTGCAGCGGGAAACGGTTTTGATGGATTTGCACATTTTTGGTTGGGTTGTTCGTTTGTGTGTGTGTGTGTGTGTGTGTGTGTAAGTGTAGTGTGGTGTGATGTGATGTGTGTGTAAGGAATGAAGAGAAAGGGTGAATAGGGTCATTAGAGGGGTTGTATATACCTTCAAGGAAGGTACTGTTGAGAAGTTGTTCTGAGATTGTGAGATTTTATGGGAGGGAGTTGTTCATCATTCTACTTGACAGAATGGATATTCTCTCTCTCTTTATTGTATAATCCATCTGAATTTATGAAACAACATGGGTAGCTATTGAAGATACATTCTGGCAAGTATCTGAAACTAGATCGAAGGTCATATGAGAATGTAGTGGATGTAGCGACAGAACCATCGGAAACCGATAGATTCAGTTATGCCTCCCCATTGTTCAAATTCTGGGTTCGATTAAACTCAGGAAACTTCTAGAGTGCAAGATGACCATTGATAATGTTTCGTCCGGAAAGATCAAGATGCTCGTATCTGTAGACCTCTCTCCCCTTCTGATAGAGGGTGAGTAGAATAATATCAAGCATCGCATTTTGCCAGATTCTCAGAGGAGAAACTCAATTCGGAAAGTACAATGTCATTCAGGGGACGAGAATATGAATGAAAGAATAAAGAATGTCTATCCCTCTCATAAGAAAGCACAAAACAAAGACTCTTTAATCCCATCCATCGTTTCCCATCATTTTTCTTTGTCTTTCTCTGTCCCATCTCAAAGAAAGGATACCACTTCTCATTCGATCATCCTTGTCCATTTGATTTCCATTTCCAGTGATACAATTAGCTAGTGTATTAAACTCCCAGCCTTGCGTAGCTAGAGCCTAGTCTAACCCTTCCAAGTATTTACGTATAATCTCTCGATATTACTCATGGTAGCCTACTAGGCTACAGTACATCTAAGATGCGGGGCGACTATGAGTATCCCATGACGACATCTTTCCACTTTCTATGTATGTAATTTGCAGCTGGCCATGCTCTTTGGATCTAAATTGGGTGTACATTTAGTAATCGTACGCGTTCATGATGATCAAATGGAACTAGCATGGCCTATTCCACTTGGCAATAATATAGAAGGTAGACTTCTACATGCGTAACCTCTAGTCAAAAACCTTAAAACTTTTGAGAAGCCTTAGTTTTGATGCCTGCCAAGTATTGCCTGATGTCCATCGAGTGAACAGACTCGCCTTGTCTCAACATATTCAAATCTCGAGAGGTGCAGGGAGAAATAATTGATACCCTCCCTCTTTCCATACATGGAGATGTATAGAAAGGTCACTTCTACATATGTTAATGAGTAGTGTATGATGACCACATTTCCACTTCAGATCCCCAATGTCCTTATATATATGTATAACACTATGTAAAATCATATATGACCAATCGCTGCTGTATACCCCCATTCCCCAACCCAGGTCTATTGGCTTCTCTCGCAGCCAATCCGTTCTCATCATGCGCACTGTTAAGTAATTGCCCAGGACTCGGTTCCTCTTCGTCGCACTCCCACTCACAACCAGATTCCTCCTCGCTCGATTTCAGTACTATGACCATTTCCTCATCAAAACCAACCCAGATTTTCTTTTCTAGATCTTCTTTCATCTTCCTCTTCTCGGTATCATTCATTTTTCTCCCTTCCCCTTCTCCACCTCCATCGCCATTGACCCTTTCTTTCCCCTCGCCAACCCTCACACTCCTTTCTACCCTTGACCCCTCTCCCTTCCTAAACATACCCGGTTCCAATTCCCAAACCCTCAACTCTCCTCCCCTTTCACTAACACTCACTGCCTTACCCCTACTAGTAATACTTGCGAAACTAATCGAGCTTGTATGTCCGAATAATTTCTGGGGAGAAGAAAGAGTAAGCGAGGTGTGTGTACTAGTGCAGAGGTAGAGAGAAAGGGTATTATCGGGATGTGTGGCCAGGATATAGGGGTGTGCGTAAGAGAGAGATGTTGGACGGGGTAGAGAAGCGCGTGGGGCAGAGGAAGTTAGCGGTTGAAAGCCAGGGGGGAAAGAGGAGGTTAGACGGGAGTTTTTTAGGGTTGGGAGCTCGAGCGAGGAGAGAGTGAAGTGAAGTTCTTGAATTGAGATGGTGTGGCCGCTTAGGTAGGTTGGGAGGGTGTAAACTATTGAGGCGATGATAGTGGATGGCGTGAGACGGATGGATAGGGATAGTGGCGGCCATGAAGAATGCGATTTGAGAGATGTCAAGAGATGTGGACGGATTAATTTATCCACGTTCCCTTGTTTATTGTTGCTCTCGTCCTCGTCTTCGGACTGTTGTATCGATCCGGTAGGATTAAGCGTATAGAAAGAAAGAAGCTGCCTTTCTGTGATGCTCAATATGTATGGATATGCATAGGCTATAGCACTTAACATCCCATTACTGCTCGGTGGATGCCTGTATTTTTTCACAAACATCTTATTTTCCACATCGAGTACCCAGGTTCCCCAACCTCCGTCTTCAAACCCTACCACAATCCCAAATCTTCCTTTCTCTCCATCTTGTTCATCGACGGCTAAGCACGTAGGTATCCCCTCTAATCCACATGTCGTAATCAATTCCCTCTCCTTAAGACCCCAAGCCTTCAAACCCTCATTCTCACCAACCGTAATTACCACTCCTCCTGCTAACCTCACCAATACATTCGGTACATTTCCTCTCTCTGCAATTTCAATCTCTTCAACCTCACATGCACCCCTTGCCCAATTATGCCTTAGTTTATACTGCCTCTTCCAATTGGTTTCTCTCCCATCACCTCTACTTCTCAACCCTTCCTCATCTAACCATCTACTCCTTCTCGAACTGAACCGAAACCTTTCTTCATTCTCAGATTTATTCCTACTCCCTTCTTCTCTCAGTTCTCCCGTACTTCTTTCTTTGTTCGATTTCTCCCGGCTCTTAATCCCCGGGATACGCAATGCGCGTGGTAACACAAATCGAGAATAGTATAACGATTTCCATAGTTGAGAATCGTGAGTAAGAGTATAGAAGTGTTGAGAAACAGAGTGGCAGGATAGGAGAGTCTCAATTGGTAGATGATGAAGGATACGGATGAGGAGCTCCGAGGAAAGATGAGAGATGTGATCGCGTTTGTTAGGTGGGAGGCAATGTTTCTTCGTTATTGGTAGATCATTTTGAGACGTACTCGATCTTCGACGTTTGGGCATGATGTATTACGGAATTCTCCTCAAGAGAAACCGCAGGGGAAAATCTAACACACTTCTCTACTTTATTAGTACTTCGTCAGTACCTATGGCTATACATCTCAAGATTTGCCCTCGCGCTTCGCCTTATCAATTTTGATATACAGGGATTAATGCAATGGAACGCGGAAGCTAACTTATTGCCGACCCACCACTAAAATTCACGTGCGTGTCCAAATCTGGGGCCGAGGCTGAGGATCGAAATTAAGCTCCAACCCCCCTTTGCGACGGCATATCCAAATCCAACCTTCACTCACAACCAACAAGCGCGTTTCATCTTCATTCTCTCCACAGAATCTCTTCAGTCACAACGATCATCTTATCTCATGAATAGATCTCAATCATGGACTCCCTAAAAAGTGTGCGGGAGAAGGTCCCTAACGCGCTACACCTCTATTCTGACTTCATCCTCAAAAATCAATCTTCCGTTACCCAAATCGAATCCGCTTTGCGCTCTCTAACATACATAATACCCGGCCGATTTCGTGATGCCGAACTCGCATCCGAATCTCTACATTCTTCCATTCAGTTACTTTCACTTTACCATGATACCCTTCTCTCTCGCGCCCTATCCAAACTCCCCGGTATGCCCAGACAAAATGCGCACAATCGATATACCAAATATTGGGTCAAGGGCAATCGGATGTATAGAAGAATTGCCATGTTACTGAGTATGATACAATATACCGAGTTATTATGGGAGATGATGGCCAAGAGGAAAGGAGAGAAAATGAGATGGAGAGTGGTAGTATTCCTTGAATTTATCAAAGCGGTTTGTAAACTGCTACTTTTGAGAATCACCAAAGGACGACCACTTGTTACACCACCTCTTCCCGAACGTGATATCATACCCGAGGAATCACTTACGGAAACCGATGAAATACCCCCTTGGCTCGATACCGACGATACGGCAGCTATGCGAGAAGAAGAGAAACTCCGCAAGAATCGCGAGGGAAAAGAATACAAATTAAAGAGAACAGGCTTAACACTTCCAAATCTCCCAAATCCAAGCGATATCTCAAACTATCTCCTTTCCAAAGTTCTCGTCGCCGATGATATCAAAGCGCCAATCTCGCTTCTTAACCCCCTTACTCTCCCTTCTCAATATGCAGAATATATGCACATTCTTCAACCCGTCATCTATGCCATCGCTCTCTCTCATTACCGCAAGAATCCTAAGTCCTGGAAACCTTGGGCTATAGGTCTCAGCATTGAATATGCTGCACGTCAACTCCGCAGCGAGAATTACAGAACCACTCCTCTTGAGAAAGAACAGTGGAATAAGCGAGGATGGGCAATGGGATGGTGGGCCTTACGAGGTGCTTTCTATGAGAATATTACGAAGGGATTCTTGCACAGAACAAGTAACCGTTTGCCAAGTTTCATTGGGGGTGTTGTCGAAGATTATCTGTGGTTGTGGGATGAGTACTACTTTAGTACGAGTCAGGATTAAGGTTGCGAGCTAAAATGTAAGAGAGATCTGGGGTTTCGCTTGGATTATAGAGGAGACGGATCAGGAAGACGAAAATTCTAATCATCAATATATCAGACTTCCACGTTGTTTTAACACTAGGAGCTTGAAGGCGTCAGGTCTAATCTGGAGATAAACGAGATTGGAACGGAATGAAATGAATACCTACACCTATTATGGAAGACGAAGAGCAGAAGAAAGAAGACTCTGAGATTTCAAGAAGCGAGTTTGGGAATCAAATACTAGTATACTGATAGATATTTTTGTAATTACGATAATGAGTTTTTGTTCATCTGCGGAGTTTTGACTTGGAATTGTGGTGTGAGATTGAAAATACGTGGTTATGGAGTATGATATTGGTATTAACCCCAAGCGTTAGAAGATTTATTCACTGTATTTACAGCTTCCTGCAAATCGTATCTATTTCTTTTTAAATGTGTAAACCCATCTTTCTTTATAATCAATGAAACCTGCCCTATCTATTTACGTTGGTTTATCGTATCAACCCAGATCCACACAACATTGACGTCGCTTCAAACGAAGACTTGATCAACATATTAAACGAGTTTTGGTAGGCGGTCATACAAAGATCTCCCAAATTCTATAGAACTAATGGTCTAGAGTTTTAAACTTTTGCAACACCTGTTGATCCTAAGTCGGCATACTTTACAATAAAGATGAGCTCTAATTCGACTTATCACTTCAAGATTATAATTTTTTCCGAATCGCAATCAATTTCAACAACACCGAGTAAATGAAGCTTTGAATGATTTGTGTAGGGCATTCATAATAAAAATAACTAAAGCTCAGGAAGGCAAGCAAATCAAATGGTAATATACGATATATAATACCTTGAAGAAGTCCAACAATGATCGATTTGCTCTGGAATTTTTGAATAAAAATGTCTTGAAGATTCGATAAGTTTTTCAAAGAAGAGAAATCTGTTATGAAGTAATAGATAATTAGAGGCATATTCTTCAAGAAGATCAGCAACTCCATTCCGAATGTCCTTCCAAAGGTATTTATTCAAACAGGGAAAAGTAGCGTCGTCGATATCTAATAATATATAATCTTTCTGATCATTTCATTTCCTGGATTAGTCAAGTCTGGTACATAGTACTCGGCTTGAAATATATATAGTGTTTACTTCCATAGTCATATTAAAAATACACTCAGCAATCATTGTATTCGAATAGAAGCATAGCCCCTGCTAAGGTACCCTATGTGCATTCTAGAGTAACCTGGGTAGCTTACAAATCATCCCTTATTCGAAAGATACCGAAAAAAGCTTTCAATACAATGTTAAATCCGAACTAGAAATTGAATAAGTTATCTTGATATATAAAATGGATACTTTTAATTATACATAGTTGCCTTTTTATTAACCTCATTAATTATTGTAATATTGCTATAGCTTATACAAATATTGGAATGTGTATAGCCACCCTTTTTAACAGATTGTATAGGGGGAAGTGGGATCGGGATGATAGAGAGCACACGCGAGTCTAAAGCCTCAGATAAAACTAAGGTGGAGGTCGAAGGGGCACAACCGGAAATTGAAAGACCCCAGAGTGTAAACAAATTGGAGTTATGGATGAGTAACAAGAAATAGAGGAGAATTCGTTGAAGGATGAAGTGAGCTGATAAAGTTGTGGTGCATTAAGATGAGAAGATAAGAAGATAGAAAGAGCACACACTGACTGGTATTGAATAAATTACATTTTGATTAGCTTAGAAGCAGCAGTGCTATGAGCTCCTAAGCCTTTCCGTTTTCGACAAACAGATTTGTTATTCTCTTTGCTATTACTATTGCCCAGATTATTAAACTCTGTTAACACACAAGTAGTACAGACTCCTTTCTGATCATAATACTTGTCTTTGTTACATCTACTATCCAGAGCAGTAACACGAGCAACATCCCCTAGCCTTATAAAATGCTTCAATAACACCACGTTTATTTCGATATCATGATGGATTCCATTAGCCCATCGAATCAGGTTTGCTATATCTGAAATAAACCACGAATTTGTTTCCTTCCATAATCCAAGAGTGTTATCGGGGTCCGAATCAAGCGGGTCGTAGAAAAACATTGCAGAGCACCAAAACAGAGTAGCATTAAATAAACTAGTATCTGATTTACGAACACAATTACCAAGAATTGACAACTTGGTAGTTAAATGCTTGTGTTCGTAAACATTCGAGTTTATTCGCATTGTTGTTTGTATCCATTTCAACAATCTCAAGTTGAGAGCTTGCGATATCTTGGAATTATAATCAAATTGCTGATTTGATCCCCAAGAGTCTAAGTTAGCAAGCTGTGCTTTAGCGAGCTGTTCCTCGTCCGAATCCACATCGAAGTTGATTTCGATATATCTCGGATCGTTTTCGACGTCATCCAAATTCACTGGAATATCCAGCAGTTCCTCACAGTCATGAGAGACATTGGCATGCACCATTGTCGAGTTATGACGAGGTAGAATTTGAGGTAGTGTTTCTACAGTTGTTGCTCCGATAATATTGACCGATGATGTTTCCTGTTCGAAGGTTGATAGTGACCGGGGAGCCTGCACTTCCGTGAGCAGATGAGGGTTCTTAGTGTCTGGTGGTAGTAGTGATATTGGACCAAGTCTACTCCATTCCACCAATTCAGGCGTTTGTTCAATGTATATTTCCTTCATATTGGTTTTGTGTATGTTGATAGGAGTATTGCTTAAGCGATTACGAACTTCTTCCAGACCCACCAATGCATAATCATTTGGCTTGATATATACAGTGAAGGTTTTCGTATCAGATAGAGATTCAAACCCATAGATCAATTCTTTTGAGATATGATTTCGAGGTTTAATAGTTCTAGTATTCTTCCTCTTTGTAATAATAAACCCCTTTGCAATTAGATCGAATTGTAGACCAATAACATGCATTGAATCGCTGATTTCGGCATCATGAATGGCGGAAGCATCGAGGTGAGATAAATTTCCGATACTTGATATCAAACGAGGCTTAGTAGTATCCGAGAAGTTGGTATGAGGAGGAAGTTGAACAACCAATAAGATCTCTGTTTTCTGCTTATTGCTTCCAAGCATAATAGACACTTCAAGAGAAAAGTGAATATGAAGATGCCCTTCTTTATCATAGTATATGGCTATAAAAAAGTTGAGATTCTGCCCATTACACCTCAAACGAGAACCTAGTGTACGAGGTGTACCCGATTCATCTTCCCATTTTATAAACACTCTTTCGCGAAGGATAAGCTTAAGTTCGAGTTTCTCAATCAAAATCTCGGTTGAATTCGACATAATTTGCTCCTATGACTATATTTAGCGATAAACATAATAAAAAACAATATTAGCCCACACTTTAGGTGTGATTCCCAACCCGCCCAGGCTATAGAGCAGCCTTGACTCTTGAATAAAATGAAGGATAGAAGTGGTTCACAAAACCTGATATAAGTTGTGTTGGAGTTGGAGTTGTAAACAACAGGCGTTGAAAAGACTACCACTAGAAGGGCTGTTCTAAGCAACAAGTGCTGCTGAAAAGACTACCACTAAAAGGGCTGTTCTAAACAACAGGTATTGAAAAGACTACCACTAGAAGGGCTGTTCTAAGCAACAAGTGCTGCTGAAAAGACTACCACTAAAAGGGCTGTTCTAAGCAATAGGTATTGAAAAGACTACCACTAGAAGGGCTGTTCTAAGCAACAAGTGCTGCTGAAAAGACTACCACTAAAAGGGCTGTTCTAAGCAACAGGTATTGAAAAGACTACCACTAGAAGGGCTGTTCTAAGCAACAAGTGCTGCTGAAAAGACTACCACTAAAAGGGCTGTTCTAAACAATAGGTATTGAAAAGACTACCACTAGAAGGGCTGTTCTAAGCAACAAGTGCTGCTGAAAAGACTACCACTAAAAGGGCGGTTCTAAGCAATAGGTATTGAAAAGACTACCACTAGAAGGGCTGTTCTAAGCAACAAGTGCTGTTGAAAAGACTACCACTAAAAGGGCTGTTCTAAGCAACAAGTGCTGCTGAAAAGACTACCACTAAAAGGGCTGTTCTAAGCAACAGGTGCTGAAAAATACAACTTTTGTATACAATACACTATACGAGAAAGTTTGATTTGTAATGGATATTGTGCGATAGAGATAGAGACGGAGGGGTCGAGGGATGGGGATAGAATGTCAGTGCTGTATGATGGCGTTGTGCGATGGTGATGGGTGATGGTGATAGTGATAGTGATGGCGATGGTGGTGGTGGTGGCGATGGTGTTGGTGATGGTGATGTGCGACGGTGATGATGGGTGACGATGGGTGATAGTGATAGTGTTGGCGATGGTGGTGGCGATAGTGTTGGTGATGGTGGTGGCGATGGTGATGGTGATGGTGATGTGCGACGGTGATGATGGGTAATGGTGAGGGTGATGGTGATAGTGATAGTGATGGCGATGGTGTTGGTGATGGTGATGTGCGACGGTGATGATGGGTGATGGGTGATGTGCGACGGTGATGATGGGTGATGATGGGTGATAGTGATAGTGTTGGCGATGGTGGTGGCGATGGTGATAGCGATGGCGATGGCGATGGCGATGGTGGTGGCGATGGTGATGGTGATGGAAGTGAAGTAAAAATAGAGATAACGATGCAAGTAGAGATACTCCGTCGAGGATAGAAGAATGTAGAGATGACTAAAAAGAAAGAGTCACTATAAGGTTAATGAACAAGTCATTTAGTAGTGCAGGTAATAATCAGGCACACATTTTTTCTGTCACAAGGCCAACACACTGACAACGCATACTTTATGTCCTTCTCTCCAGATCAGTAACATTTCCTATTTGAGAAGAAATTCACTCAGTTCGGAGTACCTACCTAGTACATAAGCGAGTGGAGTATTGATTTGAGATTGCAAATGGAAAAGTAAGACATTGAGGGAATTAAAAATTTGATCATTTCGTACTATCAATCGGACTTTGGAAGAAAAAAGTTTGCTGAAAGTCCGTAAAAATTCAACCTAAAATGGTTCGAAATATTTTAGAAGTGTCGAAATGCCTAAATTAAACGATGTACGAAGTATATATAGCCACAAAAATACAGAACATCTAAGTTTAGCCTCTAATAATAGATGTTACCATACAATCTTCAATATCTGTTTATATATTTACGTTGGCCAGTGGTGTTGATCTGACTAGTAGAACTCTCTCATCTACCAGTCGATACTGATTAAATAGTGTTGGAACGAATGTCTATCAGACTCTATCTATGGATGTCTTTTTCCAGTTTAGTGAACGGAGAAAGCCGGGTACATACATGTTGCCGAATTCCCGTTCCGGTTCCTCGTTCCTGTCAAAATAATTCACGATAGAAGGGTTCAGGAGTTGTCAAGCAGTGTGAGCTACGAAGGTGATATAACATGGTTAACACTTAAGCTTTCCTTGAAAAATATTCTTCTAATTATTCATTACTTTGTAATAGATCCCTCCTTTCTAAAAAGCTCATCGAACCTCTAAGACAACTTCACTCCAAAATTCTCCAACTACAACCACCATAGAAAGCACACTAAGGGCATTAGCCGTATTAGGTAATCAAAACGATTAATATGTATAATCAACTTCATTATATATAGCTTTTAAAGAAAATACGTATTATACTTAATTCAATCTGATAGTTCTTCCTCTATATGTTTTCTATTATATAATTCTATTTAAATCGTATAATTTATAACTTAATCTACGACTATTTTAAGACTCTTAGTATAATAAATAGTAAATCTAATAATAAAAACAAATATTAATATTAGTTTATATCGCTTCAAATTAATATCAAAGAGATAATTTATATTAATATACTATATGATTAAGAAAATATAAAATACTATTTTAAAATACTAAATAACTTTAATAAGAATAATAAAATCTCTTATTAATAATACGAAAATTAATTATATAAATTCTCAAGTTATTAATAGAATAAATCTTTAGTTCTCTATATAAACCTTAATATTAAAATTCATATTATAAAAAATATATAATTTAAAAACTTTTAGTTCATTCTATATAATTACTACTTTTTTCTATTTTTTCTAAATTAAAACAAACTTCAATAATATGATTCAAGTTATTTCTTAACAGCTTTTATTAAAAAATATCTATTTAAAATCATTATAAAAAGTATATCGATTTTAAATCAATCAAAACGCTTGAATCGGTTTCAGTTAAGTAAGTCAACTTTTTTCTATATATACTATACTATGATCCTTACGAAGAGTAAGAATATTAAGGAGGTAAACCTCTAATAAACTATATTATTCTGATCTCTGTTCCCATCCTCATCCTCATCCTCATCCCATCCCCATCTCCATCCTCATCTCATCTCCATCCCCATCTCCATCCTCATCCCCTCCCCATCTCCAAACCCCAAACCCTCCTCGCCGTCCCTCTGCACACCAAAGACAACATCAATCAAAGCAAGCCAGCATCTACATACTCCTCCAGATACGGATTATCCTTATTCCCATTAAAGAATACATATTAAATACATTAAACATATTAGTATATCCCAAGAAGTACCAAGCAACATCTAAACCCGAACAAAAGGTAATAGAGCAAAGCCTCAAAGCAAAGCATCAAGAGCTTACATCTAAATCTATAGATTCCAAGAGAAACCCCCCCCCCCCCCCCCCCCAAAAAAACAAGAAAGACTTTTTCTTCTTCTTCAGGTCTAAATCAGATATCAAATATCCATCACCACATCACCACAACCTCAACCCCAATCTCCCCAGCAATTTCCTCACACTCGATTAAGCACCACTCCTTCTCTTTGCGTCAAACTCACACATAGACAACCTATTATTGCACCTATTCAAAATAGACTCAAAAGATACCCCACAAAATCCAAATTACATGGTATCAGACGTATTTGCGACGCTTGACTGTAGGCTGTAGCTGTACATCTCCACATTTACTACTAAAGAAAGAAAGACATAATTGCGTGAAGTGATAGAGTAAGAGAGCGAGCAAGCAAGCAAGCAAGAGAGCAAGCCAACCAACATTCCTCCCAGAAAACTACTTCACTACTTAGGTAATGACAAATACAACGCTGGTCTTTGCTGCCTCCTTTGCTAGAAGAGGTTCAATCAGTCAAAGCCTGGATGTAATGAGGAAATGGATGTAGAATGACGTATCCAAGGTTGCTGAATAAATGTATAGAATGCCTCGAATGACTTGCATTGCACCGTCTACATGGCTAGCATAAGTCAATTCATTCAAGTCCAGGCTTGAGGTCAGGAAACTAAAGCAATGATGTACCACTATAAATCAAGAACTTCAAGCTAGCATTGCACCCGAGATCCTGTTGGCAGACCTTTGCAGGACATCGATTCCAGAGTCATTGAAACAATAATGATTGGTATGACACTTTCACATTTGCTTGCCAGGTTCGAAGAAAACAAAATTTTGGACAGAAAATTAAATTATGGTGTCTTATGCCTGAAGGCTTAAACTACAAAGCATTGCATCTGCCAGCCATCCTGAGAAACTGGTACTCCATGCGCCATGTTCACCCTCCAACCTCCAACTCCCTACTCCAAACATTCATTTGTTTTCGTGCCATCGGTAACGACAAAAGGGACGACGGAAAATTTGAAAGCTAGTTCTCTATTCAACATATTAGCATATGAGTTGCAGATAAAACCACATAAAGTATGCTGATTGCAAAAGTGCCTCAGGTGAAAGATGAAAAGTCTACGTTGTCTTCCGCATTAGACACAAGTCTATCGGATTTAGCATGGAATGTTTTTTGCATCATCGACAAATGGATGATTATCCATTTCAATCAGAACAAGAGAAAGTTTTCTATTTACCTGATTAGTATGTCGAAAGTTGAAGTGGAAATTTGTGCTAGAAGTTCTGTGAATCCCAATATTAGTATAATATTCAAGGACCTGTGTCAATTGGTAATGAAGAAGAGTTCAACCAAAGTACCATCAGGTAATCGAACCAGTTTATTCGTCATTGTTGATCTGTATTTGATAGTACATGTTTTGTTCATCACTGTACTTTGGTTGAACCCGTTATTGAGTAAGATAGGGTATAACGTACAATTGATATATCATCGTATGGTGGGGTCGTGAAAACGTTGGTAGCAAAAACAAACCGATGTTGGCGCACCCGTCAATTGATGGCGTAAGTGTATAAGTCAACTTCCTAATCTGCAAATTAATTAGCATCCGGTATTCATGACGAAGTCTCAAATACAAGAAGAGTTGTGCAATAATTTTCAGAAAGTCCGTTTGGTTAAGACAGGTTAATCACCACGGGAGCATAAGCTCATTGGTAAGATAGGGGCGACACGATGTTCATCATAGAATGATTGCAGAGGGAGAGTGAAAGTTGAAGAAGCTTACCATTGATGGAAGAGTCCTCCTACCACGGTTTGTGGTGGAGGACAATTGTGTCTTTGTGTATTCTTGTTGTCTGTTGGAAAAAAAAATTAAATTTGAATTGAACAAGAGCTTGAGCACAGGAAAAATTTAAGCGAGAATGTGGTTAGCGCCGGTAGGTTCCATTATTCCATTCGTATCACATGAACAAAATCAAATGTAGGCACCCTGCAATCGTTCTTGGCTTCAGTCCGAGGTACATGAGGTATAAATTAAAGCCGACCGTAAACTTTAGGACCCTGTAGCTACTGAGCTCACCCCCAAGATAATTTGGTTAATAATTCGGTACCCTCGTCTCGTCTTATATTTTCATTAAATAAATACTTGTTTCACACAGGGAAGCCCCAAAAATGTTTAAACTAATAATAAAATATGCTAATTCAAAAGCTAACCATACAATGACAAAAATGTAAGGATTGCTCGTAGAAATCTTTGGCGTTATTCCCGATGCCATTTTCAAGATCAAATTTGTTGTGAACCGGACTCTAAAGAAGCAACAATGAAATCCTCTCCCCGAATGCCAGAACGCCCATTACTGTGAGAATATGCCAAGCTAAACAAATAGCCTTGAATTTTGATGTGCCATCCATTACATGGTAAGTTCTTTTCATGTAGATGCCCAGATGAATTGACGAAATGTTCCGACGCCTTTTCCATCCCCTCTTTTACTTGCTATGCATGAAATCCATCCGTTTACCCAGACTGATGGTAATTGTACTCAAATCATGAGCTAATAAGTACCAACTCTCGCAGGCCAGCCAGCTTGCGCCCTTGAAATCGCAAAAGTACGCCAAATGCGAAAAATGACTGCAAAAACACAAGGGATCATAAAGAAAGTCCGTTAAAAAAAAAGAAATACCATGCCAAATGCGTCCCTCCCCTTGCCAGCTTCTGCTGCAACTCCCACAATTGCAACAACGCGATGGGGAATCTTATGATCGTGAACACCCCGCTACAAAAATGTAAAATGCAACCTGATGCAGCACCGTTGGACTCCTAGTTGATGAACCCTAGTACAAGATAAAATCGAAGACATCACTCTACCATACTTGATAGGTGCAAATAATTAATCGCAGCAAACAAAACTCCCACAAATGACCAACTACATTGTTATACCTGTAACTCTCGGCACATGCATTGATTCCCATCGTCTATCGTCCCATCATATAGGCAGGGGGGAACCCGCCATTAGAACCGTTCATAATTGGTGTTGGGCCACCAGCAGCCATGGCTGACGTGAAATCTTGACCATTCCAATTGTTTGGTCCCCCGAATGAAGTATTAGAAGCATATTGATTACCACCCATAACGCCAGAACTCATCGCACCAGCATAACCCATTCTACCTGGTCCCAAACCAGGTGGTGCGGAAAGACCTGGAGGACGTCCATTCGCAGTGCTGAAAGATCCCCCCAAGCCGCCCATCATAACGCCGTTCATACCATGCATGCCGCCTGATACATTTGCAGGACCTGGCGATACCATTCCTGGTCCAGATCGAACACCAAGAGGATTCTTCGAAAAGCTCAGACGAATCCCACCCTTGATGCTGTTGTGCAAAGGATGGCCGTATAATTCATGGAGAGCTTTCGTCGCAAAAGAAGTGTCCTCGAATTCCACAAAACACATTGGACCATTCTGCTTGGTCCGGAAACAAAGGCGCTTGTATCCACGCTGCTTCGAGAACAGGGCTTTAAGCTCATCTTCTGAAGTATCGATTGGAAGATTACCAACGTACAAAGTATTGCATGGAGGATTTTGGTCGGCAGGATTGACTGGTGGGAAATTATGGCGGTGATAGTGCTGACTTCCAAGTTGGTAGTGTTGAGGCGGTTGTGATACCGGTGACATGGTGCTCGCATTTGTCATGTTTGGCATGGTCTGCTGGGATGCGTAAGACGACATAGAAGCTGGACCTCCAGCATTGTTCGTCGCCAAAGATAAGCTTGCCATACGAGCGGTGATGGGAATGGAAGGGTTAGTCGGGCGTCGAGTTTGAATAGATGCGGCTCCATTTTCAGCATAAGCCACTGGATCTTTGAGAAGTTCGCCTGTCTCGTCATCTTCACCTGAATCATTATTAATCAATGATTTGCCTGTAATGCGGGGGCGGTCATTGAGATGATTTCCAATAGGAGATTGCGGAGAGAACAAATTTTGATAGCGAGCACTCGACTCGGGATTTGGCAATTCATTGTTTGCATAGTTTCCACTGTTGTTCGTAGGTGAAACTCTTTGTGTAGATGTGAAGGAATTGTTGAATCTTGAAGATTGTCGAGGGGTCGGACCCGCTGAAGAAGCCGTGGAGGAAGTGGAGCTAGATGGTCCAGCGTTTGTGTTTGTATCGACAGTATATCGACGAGTGGTAGTGGGACTTCCATAAAATATTTCCACCACCATGTTCGCATCGTTTGCAATGTTTGGTTTTCCATCAAGCATGTTTTTAGCCTCGAGTGCGCCCGCATGGGACATGAAGTGGAGAATAGCAGCTCGGAATCCTGCATCATCAGATTTCTCTGGAGACAATACTTCAGCTTCAGTAAACTCCTTAGACCATACTACCATTGATCGTAGCGCATCTTCAGTGGTATTCAATGGTAAACGTCGAATTAAAACGGAACACGGTCCCGATGTAAATGATGCGCCACCATTCGATTGTGGAGTATGTTGCGACGAAGTATCTAATGCAAAGGCATTCATTGTAGTCATCGATAAGGATTGATATGTTTGTTGGTTGTTATTGGATTGACGAAAGGCCTGGCCTTGTGGGACAAACACCTGGGCGTTCATGGCATTCTCTGGTGATGAAATCGTGTTAAGTTGTGGTTTTGTGATTGAAATGTCGAGCGTTGTAATTGCTTAGAAACTCGAGGTGTCGCAAATAAAGAAGATGGGCCGAAAACGAAATCTGATAATTATTGGATTGTTGTTTCAGCTCTTTCTCTGCAGAATGATATGTTTTGAACGTGTGGGAAGATCACAAAAGGCTTGGATACTCTTGCGACCGTAGTGCTGGTTGACGCGCTCGAAGGTTATGTGGTGTTCGGGTAAGAAAGTGGTAGGGGGCGGATGCGGGTGAGAAGGTTGATTATCGAAATAAGATTAGAGTGGAGTGGTAATCGTCACGATAAGGAAGCAGTCGCGCAAATGGGTTGGTTGGAACTCTTGGTTGTGTGTATGTGAGTGAAGTGTGGGATGAAAGTAAAGTGTGAGGTGTGAGGTGTGAGTGTGTGTAGTATTGCGGCTTGATAAGTTTTTGCGCAATAGATGATGATAAGAGTGAGAAGTGTGGTAAGAACCTTGGAAGGACCTTGTTTGTGTGATCTCGTTGCTCTTTGTACAAATATCGTAATTGTAATGATTTAAGTGTTGGAAATCTTTCTTTCTATTGGAATAAGATTCGTACGAGTTGACTTGTCAAATATGCGGTACCTGACGATGAATGATGACCGTGCGATGTGCCGACCGAACGAGGAAGTTTAGGTAGGTTTCCACTATCCCAAGGAAATCTGTCTATCCTTTCGCGCGCGTGTATTAGAATGGACTTTGGAACAACGTTTATATTAATTCGAGAAGATGTATCTTGAGATTTGAATCAGACGATAGTTTCCAATTGTGGATGATTTGATTGTAAAGGTTGGCATCGAAGTACTGTATAAAGTAGGTAAGGTACTATGTAAGAATGATGAGATAATATTGCGATGGATTGATAGAGAAAGTTGGCGGGTAGCCTTTTTCGACTTTCACAATCAAAGAATGGATGGACACGAAGAATTGATGGGTAAGAATTATGTGCGACTCGATGAAATTACAAGAAGTATGGAGGAGGTTGGCGTCGAAAGTCGTCTTGTTTGAAACTGGAATGAAGAAATGGCTGGAGGATTGGAATTGTCTCTTTTTTTCTCTGTCTTTTCTTCCTCGTGACTTTTGTTGGTAGTGAGTGAAGGTAAGGTGAGGAAGGTGAGGAAGGTGAGGAAGACAAGGTGAGGTGATGTGATGTATGGGAAACAGAGGTTGGAGGTAGGTGGTCGGTCTATTCAATCATCGAAATTTGGGGGGAGGGGGAGGGGAGTTTCTAGGTGATTACTTTGGGGGATTCTAGGAAGATTATGTGGAGAAGGAAGGATCTATAAGAACTTCTATTGGTTTATACTCGATAAGATACACTGAAGCTAATTTAGTTCGTGCAGCATGCAGATAGCGGGATTTCTTTGAACACACACACGCACCAAGTCTGCTACTAGGGGAGAGACAGATGTGAAAACAAATATGGAGGAAGATCTACTAGGTCTGGTAGATAGATAGGTAGGGTAAGCAGAAGTGAGCACCCCACCCCCTCGTAAGAAAAAAATCACAATAAGATCAATAAATACAAATTCAGAGGTGAGCTGCTGTTCATCGTCAGGGGAAACAAACAGAAATAATAAGCTTAGTCTGGCAAAGTGATTACCTGGACAAGACAAAGTAGCAATTTCATATTGGAAAATGCGGGATGGGATGGGAATTGGCAGGCGGATGGCGTATTTGTAGATGTAGATGCACTAGCTGTGGAAATGGATGCAAGTGAGGTGAAATATATAAAATAAATCCTGGGTTATTATAATCGATACCTAATGATGAATCTCTGGTAACGTCTCTCATAGGCTGTTCAATCTGGGTATATTATATTCGCGAGTTAAGTATCTGGGGTCTCTGAGAACAAACATGAATGAATGAAATAGCATATAGCTAACCTACCTACCTACCTACCTACCTACCTACCTACCTATCTATCTAGCATTCAAAGCTCTACAATAAATGCTGGTCTTCCATTCCTACCCGATCATACCTTATTATTTTCCTCGTCTCCTCCCTGTCTCCTCGTCTCCTTTTTCCCATCTATTCTCTTCGAGGATGAGGTGGTAAGAAATAGATGACCAAGTCTTCCATGTTCCATGTTCCTGATTGTCCGATTCTCATGCTCACTCG